CAATATATAAACTTCCTTTCCGTATAGACGTTCTTACGTAAATTTCTCCGGAACTGACAACTTTTTATTCAAATGACTCACCATCGTCACAAACTTTTAGATTTGATAAACATAAAAGCACACTTATATGTGTAAATGCATTATAATGATGACATTTAATAAACGTCGAAACATCGAAAAATTATTTATTTCAAAATGTAGGTCGTGCGTGTGGGTGGAAAATTAAAATAACGTAGCTCGGTCTGTCCATATGTGTTTAATGTATTTTAGATAAATAAAAAAAAACTATTTGGAAAGATAAGTTCATTTTTTTGTGGACAGTCCAAGTTAGTTTTATTGGGCATTAAAAAACCGGTTTCCAAAATGGTTCGCAATTAGTGACCAGTAGCCGAAGGCCAACATGTGACACCGACGCAAAAATAAAATAAGAATAAGAATTTTGAACATTTACTTTTCAATGATTACGTAAAGTCAGATAAGGATATGGGAACCTGTTTTCTCCGTATTTAGTGTGACCAAAAGTTATTTTCGTCTGTCATTATCAAAATTATAACGAAATCTCGGACGTCGAATGCTTCGATGCGCGTAATGACCAGGGTTTCCACGGTTTCATTTACCAGAAATGGTTTAATGAAATTCATAATGGTCGTATTAACTGCCGACAAAATTATTCATTCTAGCGGAACTAAACAGCCGTGTCCTCCATAGGACACTGACGAGAACCAGAGTTCTCAGTTGTAATGCATTCGGCCTTGTCTTCATATTTGCATCTGCACACTTGGAAATACAGACTTTTATGTTGGGTTTTTTTTGCTATTGCAAAATTATGTAATTGTTAGGTCTAATACGACGAGGAATACGTAAAAACTGGTTTGACCGGGAAGTTACCGGAGTTTCGAAACATGCAACACACGTCAATTTTAAAAAAAAAAAGGAAGCCTCGTGCGATCAAAAATGAATGTGCTCGTTACGCGGATGGATATCAGAGCTCAAAACATTTCAAAGAAAAATTGCTGCCTTATGACGGTGTATTAAAAAGTAAAGCTAAACGCCATGTACGCGCTTGGGGGAGGGGGGAGAAGTGAAAAATACTGCAGAGGAGAACTGAAGAACGAACCTCAAGATGTGAGGTTTGAGGTTTCCACGGGGGTGAAAATGTGAAATGTGGAAAAATTTTATTATAACGCCGTCTATTGTTTTAAAGATAGTTACCAGGGTTTCCTCAGTAAAGTTGTCGAGTAAAGGTTTGTCAGAAGCACTGATATCTTAAACCCAGAAAACCAACATGGTTAGAGGATCGAATTCATTTCATCTCATTTTCAGGAAGCAGCAGTTTGAGCTGGGATCCAGCACTCACGGTTCAGCTGCACCTGGCAGCTTCAGGCTCAAACTGCCACAGGTTAGCTCAGCGTCTCTCTTTTTCTGTTGGAACACTTAGCATCAATAAACCGACCAAATCCATGGAATGAAACGGAGTGCCGCTTGAGAAGCTAACAGTCGCTCAGACAGTCAGAAAACTCGTCGTGTTTTATGGAAACCAAAGGTTCATTACCGTGTTTACAAAAGCCGTACACTCGGATTAATCCAGTACATATCCTCCAAATCTATTTTCATAATATTATTTTTAATATTATCTCATATCTGTACGTAAGTCTTCCGAGTGAAATCTTCTCTTCGGAATTTTCAAAAAAAAAAAAAATCTCCACTTATCCGTGCTACCTACATGCCCCGCTAATGTCATCGTCCTTAATTGTATTATCATAATAAGACTTGTTGAGTACAGACCATGAAACTTCTGATTATGTAATTTTTTTTTTCCGGTCTTCTGGTACTGTATCTTAATTAGGCTCAAGTGTGAACCTCAACACTTTATTCTCAAACACCTGCAATTTGCGTGGATATTGCTGACAGAACCTTAAATCAAATATTTAATCTGTGCAAGTCTTTAAACTGCAGATTTTAATTTATACGTTTTACTTATTTATTTTTATTATTTTACTAAGTGCTTATGTATGTAATTTTTGCCTGAGTGCATTCTGGTGACTTTAATGCGATTTAGTATCTACGAAACAAAGTGTCCACAACAAAAATATCAAGTGTCGAGGACACATGAGAAATGAGAATTTCCCAAGATAACATAATTGTGGGTTCCGATGCATGGGCACGTGATTGACTTCAAGGATATTTGATAATTAGGCGCTTTGTCAAATTCTATCTGTAGATTCCGTTTTTTTTTAAAAAATTGGAAAACATTAACTGGCCCCACAATCATTCATGAACTGAAAATCTAAGCGCAAAATAGCATTAGTGGAAGGTCGCCCTGTATTTCAGAACCAGGGGAAAAACTTTAATGTCCCAGTTGGGCTGCTATGACGTCATCACTTCTCAAGAGTCTTCGTGTTTCTGTAGATTCTGGCAAACGTGGCTGCGAACCTACTGATACTCGATCTCTGCATGGCTATTGCTTTTACCACAGTCCTCATCGCCGCGACGCTCAACGCCGAGAATGACCTCAGTATCAACGAGAATGAAGCTTCATGGCTCGGTAAGATATTATACAGGGTTATCTGTCACTGAGCCACGGTGGTCTAGCGGTTAGAACGCTGGCCTTGTAATCCTGGGGGTCTCGGGTTCGATTCCCGGCGGTGCCCGAATTTATAACTTGTGTTGGGCAAGGCCGTGGTCTAGGCAACACGGAGTTTTCCTCCGTGGCATCCCAACAATTACTCCATTCACACACAGAAGAAGGCAATGGCAAACCACTTCTGGATCATCTGCCAAGAACGTATATGAACAGGGCCCAGTCCGAGAAAAAGAGGGAAGGATCCTGTTCATATGGACCGGTCCTCAGACAGAACACTAAATAA